GAAAACTAAGCTTTGAAGGTTATATTGTTGCTAAGTGCTGTTGAGTTGTTCTTGCTTATAGTGACATGAGGCTTTAAATTTTTATAGGAGTAGGAGCAGAAAGCCTCATCTTTCTCCCCTGGAGTGGCTGGTGGACTTGAATCACTGACCTTTTGCTTGAAGTCCAGTGCTTAACCGACAGAGCCATGATAGGCTACTAACTCAAAATTTCAAAATGCACCTTGATGATCCAGGGATTTTCGAGGGTTATTTTTTTGTTTCTAAGTGACAGTTCTTTTCCTTTCTCCCCTCCCTTCTTGTTATTATATTAATTTATGGCTCATTTGAAGAGTAGATTTCCCCATCCTTTTTTGGGATACCCAAAGGATAATCTTTATACATTTTCTCACAGGATACAGGGCACTCCTGTGGCTCATTTGTTGTCTGACCCATAGTCATCCCGTATAGAGTTTCTGAGGAGCGGCTGGTGAGTTTGAACCACCAACCTGTGGTTCAAACCGACCTTGTGACAGAGTACTTATCCTACACTGGCACTAGAGAGGAGATTTGAGAAAATGAAAAACTGCATTGGTAAGAAAAGGCCAGAAAAGTTGTACCAAGGATGGCATAATTTCACCTACTCATTCTTTCACGGTAGCAAAGGCTGTGCTAAGAGAATTTTGTTGGAAAACCTTATCCCATCCACCTTACAGTCCTAATCTTGCCCCTTGAAAATTCATTTGTTCCCAAACTTAAATAGCATTTCAAAGGTACACAATTAGAATCATTGGAGGACGCCAAAACTTCCATTTTGATGTGGCAACTGGAAAATCATAGAATTCTTTGGGGAAGAGTTGTTATGGTTAAGTGCCGTCCAGTCAATTCTGACTCATAGTGACCCTGTATAGGGTTTTCCAGGAGCAGCTGGTAAGCTTGAACTGCCTACCTCAAGTTTCAAACCAATTTTGCAATCCAGATTATTAACCCACAGCAGGAGTGGAAACATTGCTTTCAGAACTGTATAGACCTAGATGGAGGATATATTGAGAAACAATAGTTTCACATTTTGATATTTTAAAATAAAGGTTTCTATAATTTTTTACCAATACTTTTTGACTTATCCTACTAGTATGGAAAGTTAGTTGACTACTAAAGGATTTGACAACCTTTAGAAAAAGTTTTAAGTTTTATAATCATCAAATTAATCTTATGATTTCATATGTAAACTTCAACATAATATTGTAGTCTTATTTTAAATAAAAAGTTTGAATAGTGTATAAATCAGTCTAAAAACTGCATGATGCAAGCCCTAAATTTAAATGGATCTGAAATCAGGGTAAATTTATTTTCTAAAATGATTACCCCTTTAAGTGATAAACTAAAAGGTTTTTTTTTTTTTTTTTCTGTTGTTTCTTTGTTTGCTTTGCTTTGCTTTTTAATAGCAAAGTCGACTAACTTCTCACTCTATTAAGTTTGCTGTTACCAGGAAATACAAGTTTGTTGTTACCAGGAAATACAGGTTTGTTGTTACCAAGAAATACAGTCTATTGTCTTACAGACACTGAAAGAAATGTTTGTTTTCAGCTTAGTGTATGGTAGATACCTTCTACATGTATGAATAACCACTGCCTTTTGGAAATTATACCGCTTTGTAAACTTTAAAAAAATTAAAATGAGAACTACCTGTTATTGACTAAAATAAAATCTCACATTTTGTATACTATTACATTGCTCCATGAAAAATAAACTTTGATGATATTTTACATTAAAATTCAAATAACATTTCATAGACTCAGAACTTCAGGCTCTGTATTAAAATAGATATGTGTCACCATCAATATTTCTTAACTAAGATCTATTCCAGAGGTTTTTTCCCTCAGATTTCTTACATACATCCCCTTCCCATGCCCTACCCCTAACTCCACAGAGGTTTTTATAAGGCATTGAAAATTGGTTAATTCAGCTTATTTTTTCTTTTTAAATAAATTGTTGTAATGGAAGGCACACAGTTTATTGACTTCTATTCCATCACTTTTAAATGCTATAAATCACTGTTTACCATTATGTTTCTGTGGAATACATAATTTACACAAGGGCAATTTAGGATTCTCTAGGCACAAATAATATATAGATAACCAAATTTAAAGGTCAGGCTATCTCCATCTCATAGCTCAGCAGTTAAAAAAAAATTCAATTTCTTTATTAAATACTTTCCGGAATATTTAATTACCTGGAAAAATTCGTGAACTACTCACCCAACTCCCGAACTTCAGAAATTTTGCCAATAGAGAATTGAGATTATTTGAACCTTTAGGGCACCTGTAAGGCTGGTTCGTCCATCTTCCTTGGGATTGGTTGTTGCCATGGTTACGCTTTGTTTGGAGGCAATGAAAGCTTTGTGTCAGTTTAGCCCGCGGAGGACAGCGCTGCAGGTGGGTGAGCATGAGCTTCCCTTAGGGGATTTCAGATTTTGGGATGCGGGTGTGGCGAAGCCGAGCTGCGGTAAAACGGAGTGATCGCCTGTTTACATCTGGGCGAAGCTTCCTGGCAACCTGGAAACCGCAGGCGACCAGCCACTCTGGCCTAAGAGGTTGCTGCTCGTGTCTGCGGAGCTTTAGACTTCTTTCAGTTCTAAACGTTTTGCCCGCTATCTCAAAAATTCAAGATGCACCATAACATATAGGGATTTTCGATGGTTGCTTATTTTCCCTAAGTGACAACTCAGTTTCCTTCCTCCTATACTAATGTATGGCTACTTTAAGAGGTTTCCTTTCCTTTTTATTGCAGGAATTGAAGGAAAGACTTCCTTAAGGTTATCCTCTTTGTTATTGTTAAGTGCTGTCAAGTCGGTTCCGACCCATAGCGACCCTGTAAAGGGTTTCCGAGGAGTAGTTGGTGAACTCGAACCGAGGAGTAGCTGGTGAGCTCGAACCGCCGACCTTGCAGTTCAAAGCGACTTTGCAGTCCAGCGCATTAACCCACAGCACCACACCAGGACTCTTCCACTTTGGGAGGCTAGAATAACTAAGTTATTGTTTACTTGAAGTAGTTTACTACAGACCTGGAATTCTTGTGTGGTGTTGTAGGATAAACACTGGCTTGTTACCCTCAAGATCGACGCTTCAAACCCGGTAGCTGCTCTTTAAAATCCCTATGTGAGCCAGAATTGACTTCACTGTATTTAACAATAACAATTATACTGGAATTTATCTAAGGCTTCACTGTCCTGAAAGGCCGCCCCTAGCTGCAAGTGGCTATAAGAGTTGAAATGCAGATAATTAGAATTATAGGTGCAAAATACATATTAGATTGTAAAGAGTTACTATAGATAAACAAGAATGCAACTTTTTACTTTAACTTTTATAATTAATAGCTAATTTTTATATAGATTGCATGTTGAAAGAATAAAATTATGTATTGTTAAATGTCGTTGAATTGGTACCAACTCATAGCGACCCTGTATAGGATTTCTGAGGACCGACGGGTGGGATTGAACTGCTAACCTTGCAGTGCTTATCCTATAACCCCAAACCATGACTCCCCCTCAAATATATATATATATATGGGTTGAATAAAATGTTATTAAAATTTACATACATTTCACCTGTTTTTGTTTTTACTTTAAAAAAATGTGACTATTAGAAATTAAAAAATTACATGTTGTGTTTCTGAGAAGGTTGGTCTGAGGATCCAGTAGGCCAGCAAAAGAGGGCAAATAATGTAAAATTCTCTTCATCTTACTCTACTGCTTTCTCTTTCTGCTTAATGCTTTGTGTATGTAGTGTGCATTCTGCTTTATAAAGTTATTTTTCCACCTCAACCAAACCCACTGCCATTGAGGTGATCCAGGATTAAGACTTTATTGAAATAGATATCCTCATCTTTCTCCTGCCCACCTTGGCAGTTAGCAGCTCCACACCACTAGGGCACCTTAATTTTTTTTCACTTACAAATTTTGAGCTGCATTTTTTGTGTTTGGTTACAAGATAACATTGTGCACACACACACACACACACACACACACACACCTTGGAGCTGGGAGTTTGTGGATAAAATTGTTGTTGTGAATTGCTGTCGAGTCGGTTCGACTCTCTAGAGCTTCGGAGGAGCAGATGTTGAGTTTAAACCACCAAAGTTGGAGTTCAAAACAACCTTGCTGTCTAGTGCTTAGCCTACTTATTCATAGTGAAAATATTCAATATAAGGGTATGAAATCAAACTTATATGCTCCCAGATTTCTTCTGAAAACTCTCTAAGAAGGAAAAAAGAAAAGGAAAAAAAATTCTCTCTGTGTGTGTGTAGTTACTTAAAAGACTTTTTCTATATACTATTCTGTCATGTGTTTTCTATAATTTTTTGACTATATTTCATAGTAAAGTTACCTAAAAAAATTTTTTTTTGAAGTATTTGTGTAGTATTCCATTCTATGGCTCCATCATAATTTATTTAATTGTTCTCTTAGCGTTCTATCCCGTATTTGGACATTTTAAAGTCAACATTTTTTCTAAAGATTACTGTAGATTTACATTCAATTTAAATAAATAATACAGAAAGATCCCTTGTATACTTTGTAAAATTTCCTCATTGGTAGTATATTTTAAACTATATTATGAAATCACAACCAGAATATTGACATTGATGCAATTTGTCTATTCTATTTTGATTTCCTCAGTTTCATTGATGTTTCTATGTGGGTTAAGTTCTATATGGGTTTAATAACTAAAAAAAATAACTCATAAATAAAGGTTTTTGTATTAACTAACATAATAAAGATAATAAAAAATGCCAATACTGCAAGAATTTCTCCTATTGCCTTTTTATAACAAGTAAATGGAGAAATAAAATCATGTTCTTAGTATATGGTATCAACCTTTTTAATAATAAGATGTGATAAAATTTTGTTGAACTAAAATATCTTTACACAGAATATGTTATGATCAATTAGCAAATCCATTGTTTTGCTTTTAGTTGGATAGCCTTTTTGTTTGCCTTCAAATGATTTTTGTGTTTTATTATGAAGAATGATGGAAAACAGCAATGATGATGATGCAAAGCTCAAAGCAGAAATAGAAGCGGAATTGGATAAGATCAGTATTTCCTCCTTGGAAAATGATGATGATGGAAGTGATTCTGAATCAGAAACCCAAAGTAAGAGTAGTGACACAGTAAGTATTAAGTGTTGGACTTTAGAGCCTTTTTACTGGAATAAGCTTTTAAGAAGAGTATTACTTTTCTTACTGTGTTCTGTGTTATTTAGAATAATCTTGAACTGTATATTGATACATATTTTAATATACAATATATAATTTTATTTTAATATGTATATTTTAATAAAATTGGGGTTATGTTACATCTTCTCTGTCTTATTCCTGAGCATTTTAATCTGATTAGACATTCATTAAATTGCTATATACATATGCTATTATCATTAATTGAATTATTTCTCTGTTTTGGACATTTATTTCAAACTTGTAGTTTAGAAACAGTGATATGATAAACATCTTTGTCCTAATCTTTGACAATTTGCTAGAATATATTCTTAGCAATAATATCTGTGGTTCAAATATTATAAAATATTTCTTAATCAAATAAAAATGTAAGTGGCATTGTAGGATAGATACTAGACTACTAACTTCAAAGTTCTCAGTTCAAACCCACAACAACTTTGGAAACACTATTCAGGGTCACTGAGTCAAAATCAACATGGTGCCACACTACAACAACATCATACTGGGCAAATCTCTATAGGGACATCATGCTTGAAAAAGTAGAGGGTCAGTGAAAAAGTGGAAGTCCCCCTAAAAATGGATTGACAAAGTGGCATCAAAGGGCTAAATGTGGGAAAAGATAGAGTTCCCACTGAATGGTTTTCATCTTGTCTAGATGGGTCTGGTGAAAAGAGATGGGGGATACGATTCTTTTGATTCAATAGTGAGTAATTGTTATCATTACTAACAGAGACTGTCACAATTGTGCAGGTAGAAGTTTTGTAATATAGTTTTCAAGGAGTGGCTGGTGAGCTTGAACTGCCATCTTGGAGTTCAAACGGCTTTGCAGTCTGACGCATTAACCCACAAAGCACTGTGCAAATACTTTCCTTTTCAATTTCTTTGTAATTTACTATGTTTAAACATGCAGAAATAATTTTTGTTGTTGTTGAATCAAATGTATTATCCTTTTGTTGTATTGTTTGCCCAATTTTGTACGTGTAGACTATACTTTTCTGGATTATTTCTTTTACACTAAAATTGTTAATCCAATTGGAGTTTATTTTCAGTTTTGTTATATAATATAGATATAATCTGAAAATTTCTGTCAGGAAAGATGTTTACCTGCACTTTATTGACTACACAAAAGCTTTTGATTATGTGGATCATGACAAGCTATGGACAACATTGAGAAGTATGAGTATTCCAGAACACTTAATTGTACTTCTAAGAAATCTGTACCTAGACCAAGAAGCAGTTGTTCGAACAGAACATGGGAACACTGAAAGTTTTGAAATTAAGAACGATGTTCAACAGGGTTGTATTCTTTCACCATATTCAACTTGTATGCTGAACAAATAATCTGAGAAGCTGGGTTATATGAAGAAAAATGTGGCATCAGGATTAGAGGAAGACTCATTAACAACCTGCGATATGCAGATGATACAACCTTGCTTGCTGAAAGTGAAGAGGACTTACAACATTTTCTGATGAAGATCAAAGAGCACAGCCTTTGGTATGGATTACATCTCAATGTAAAGAAAACAAAATCCTTGCCACTGGACCAATAAACAACATTCTTATCAATGGAGAAAATATTGAAGTAGGACTTCATTCTTTTTGGATCAACTATCAACACTCACGCAAGCAGCAGTCAAGAAATCAAACAACATATTGCCTTAGGCATATCTGCTGCACAAGACCTTTTTAAAGTGTTGAAAAGCAAAGATGTCAGCTTGAGGACTAAGGTGCGCCTGACCCAAGCCATGGTATTTTCAATAACCTTGTATAGATGTGAAAGTTGGACAGTAAATAAAGAAGACCATAGAAGAATTGATGCTTTTGAGTTATGGTGTTGGAGGAGAATATTGAAAGTGCCTTGGGCTGCCCAGAGAACCAACAGATCTGTGTTGGAAGAAGTGCATCCAGAGTGCTCCTTGGAGGCCAAGATGGCCAAGCTTATTTGTCTTATATGTGTCTCATATTTCGGACATATTATCAGGAGGGGACTGGTCGCTGGAGTAGGATGTCATGTTTGGTAAGGTGGAGGGTCAGAGAAAACGAGGAAGACCCCTAGCGAGATGGATTGGCCAAGTGGCAGCATTGATGGACTCAAGCGTGGCAACAGTAGTGAGGTTGTCCCAGGATTTGGATAGTATTTCGTTCTGCTTTACATAAGGTCGCTATGATTCTGCATTGACTGAATGACAACTAACACAACCAACAACATATGTAGCTAATGTTTTCATTGCTAAATTGTTGCATTATGTACTCCTCAATTAATTTGTCTTGACTTTGTATTTATTAAGTTCTTATATATTTATCTGGGAGCTTAGTGGCTCTGTTGGGTAAGCACTGTGCTGTGAACCACAAGGTCCTTGGTTGAGTCCACTAGCCGCTCTGTGGGATAAAGATGAAACTTTGTACTCCTACATAGATTTACAACCTGGGAAACTCTGTACAGGGTTACTGTAAAGGAACCTACTTGGTAGCACTTAACAACAACAATAAGGATATCCATTGTTTCCAATATTTTGTTACTTTTTACTTTATTGTATTTTTATGTTTTAAAATGTCAAATGGGTCGAATGTCTTCCAATTTTTTGCTGTTTCAAAAATTTCTCAACTAGTCTTTCCCTCCCAAAGTTTGTTTAATCAAGTAGCAAAAAACAATTCCACTTTGTTTTTTAATTAGCTTTGAACAGAAACTATGTATTACTTTGGGAAAAACTTAACAGTTTTACATGATTTTTTGTTTTTATCCAAGGCTAATTTAAATAGTGCTGTAAGATAAACATTGGACCAAGGAGCTCTGGTAGTATAGTGGTTACGAATCAGGCTGCAAACCACAAGGTCAGCAGTTCGAAACTACCAGCTGTTCCGGGGGAGAAAGATGAGGCTTTCTGCTCCTATAAAGATTTACAGCCTCAGAAACCCTGTACAGGGTCACTATGAGTCGGAACTGACTCTACGGCACATAACAACAACAACGGACCACATGGTTGGCAGTTCAAACCCACCAGCTGCTCCTTGGAAACCCTGTACAGGGTCACTATAAGTTGGAATCGACTCCAGGACACTTAACAACAACAAATTAAAATGAGACAAAAATTCTCAGGTTCTTTGATAATAAATTCAACAGAATGATGAGTTTTATATATCTGATTAAGTATGTGCATAAAGGAAGAGGAACACAATTTTAAAACTTTTTTGGTTTACTTAGGATATTTTACAAGTTTTTTATCAGTCAGAAAATTAGTTAAATTATTATTACCTTGAGAAAAATGTTTAACTAGGCAAACTAACCCAAATAACTTAAAATCTAGGAATTATAGTTTACACTTCATATAACATAGCAATACTATCTTCTTTATGTGAATCCTTTTTATCTCATTTGCACATTTACCTCAAAATTTGGGTTGGAATTGTTGTTGTTAAGTGCCGTCAAGTTGGTTCCAGCTCAGCGACCCTGTAGAGGGTTTCCAAGCCTTAAATTTTTGCTGGAGCAGAAAACCTCATCTTTCTGCTGGTGGACTCAGACTGCCGAATTTGTGGTTCACAGTCTCATGATTATCCTATAGAGCAAGGATGCAATATTTGACACATAATTGTGATAATATATGATTTTACATTTTCTTTCACTGCTCACATTTTTAGGATTTAGATGAATTACCTGAGTCAGTTCTTCATTGTATTAACATCATAAAGAATAAGAGTAAAACAGCTGAAGAGCTCATTCTTCAGGACTTGGAAGATACTGATGTTTCAAGTAAGTACAAGTTTCAGTTGCTTGGCAAATAACATTTCTGTAGGTATGCATACATTATAATTTAGAAAACTAAATTACTTAAATTTCTTTTATCCTCCTCTGTATATATATGGAGTCCTATGTGTTACTATAGTATAAGCACTGGACTGCTATTCACAAGGTCAGTGGCTCAAACCCACAAACCACTCCTTGGAAACCCTGTACAAGGTTGCTATGAGTCAGAACAGATTCAATGACACTTAACAATATGTATCTATGAATGTATTTATTGCTAATATGCTATCTATAGTATTTTAGATTTTTGGATGTAGTTCATGTATTTTTTGGCTTACTGCCTTCCTGACGTATGTAATAAGTAAGTAGCTGCCAACATTTATGTTATCACTCTTACTTGGCATCAGATCTTCTACTTGTTAGGTGTCAATGAGTCAATTCCCATTCATAGCGACCTATGTACAACTGAACAAAACACTGCCCTGCACCACCCTCAAACACGTTACACTTGAGCCCATTGTTACTACCACTATGCCAATCAGTCTCACTGGGATCTTCCTCTTTTTCACTGACCCTCCGCTTGACCAAGCATGATGTCTTTCTTTAGGGATTAGTCCACCCTGGTAAAATGTCTAAAGCATGAGGACAGGTCTTGCCATCTTAGCTTCTAAGGAGCATTCCGACTGTACTTCATTCAGCATAGATGTGTTTGTTCTGGCAGTCTCCAGTACTTTTAATATTCTTCTCTAACATTGTATCTCAAATGCATCAATTCTTCTAAGGTCTTCCTTATTTATTTTCCTACTTACACATGAATATGAGGCTACTGAAAATACTATGGCTGGGGTCTAGTGCACTTTAGCCCTCAAACTGACATCTTTGTCCTTGAAATAGTAAATAAAATAAAACTAATAATTGGAACATTTTATAAATTTCAATTTATACATTTTCAGCAAACAGTATAATAATATTTTTGACTAAAATTTTTCACTTGCTTCAGCTGAGTAAATATAATATTTGTTAAGTATCTTAAAAATAATATAATAGTAAAACATTTTGCTAGAATTCATAAATCATGTATTGGTTTATAATGAAAAATGGAAACAATGTAATGCTCAGTAGGTACTTGATGTGTCCACCTATACATCCGATTAAATAGATTGCTTAGATATTTAAACAATTAAGAAATATATTGATAAAAATATGTCACAAATGTTTTACAATGTCATTTATGTTAGTATTAGGATAAATTTTAATATAAATATTCATATGTATTCATTTGACAAATATTATTGAGTAACAGAATTTATTCTAGTCATTTAGAATATTTTGTTGTTGTTGTTGTTAAGTGCTGTCCAAAATAATTAAATACCCTGTTCTAATGTGAGGGAGATAGAATGAATGAATGAGTAAATAAATAAGTAACTAAATAAATAGACACTGTTTCAATAGTGGTAAGTATTAGGAAGGAAAAATAAATTAACGTAAAAGGATTGAGAATGGAGGTTGTTCCTTTGTGGAGAAGTTGGGTCACACAGATATATGAAGAACCACTTCCATAAAGATAATGGCCAAGCCACATGGAGTGTGTTTGAAAAACAGCAAAAAATCTTTGTGGTTGTATCCAAGAAAATAAGGGGTAAGGTCTTATGTTGTTGTGAAGTGCCGTTGAGTAGACTCCAAACCATAGCAACCCTGTATAGGGTTTCCAAAGAGCAGCTGGTGAGCTTATGGGGTTTTGTAAACCATGAGATGGACTTAGATTCTGCAGACTTACCTTGTTTTAATGTGTTTTGCTTATTGCACTTCCCAAATACTGCCTTTTGACAAATTGAAGGTTTGTGCAGCGCTGCAAGTCTTTGGCTCAGTTTTTCCCACAGCATGTGCTCACTTTCAGTCTCTGAGTCACATTTTGGTAATACTCATAATTTTTGAAAATTTTCATTATATTATGGAGCTTTGGTGTGGCTCTGAAGGATAAGCACTAGACAACAAGGTTGGTTTGAACCACAAGGTCAGTGGTTCAAACTCGTCAGCTCCTCAGAAACCCTATATAGGGTTGCTAGGAGTTGGAACTGATGCAGTGGCACTTAACAACAACATCGCACACTTACTGCCATTGTTGTTAAGTGTTATTGAGTCAGTTCTAACTCATGTCGAGCCTATGTAGTGTTTCAAGGAGTGGCTGGTGACTTTGAACCACCAACCTTGTGGTTCAAATTGACCTTGCGATCCAGTGCTTTATCCCACAGTGCCACACAGATTGCATTAAAGTGTAGGCATAATTTTATATGCACTGGGGAACCAAAAAAAAAAAATTGTGTGACTTGCTTTATTGTGATATTTACTTTATTGCTGTGGTCTGGAATCTGACATACATTATCTCTGAGGTATGTGTGGGTTATGACTATGTGAAGTATTTTTGAGTATTTGACATATTTGGATACAGTCATTTTGGTGACAGTCTAGACAAAATAGCATAAGATAGTAATAAGAGTGGAGACAGAGTTCATTAACACATTATTGTAGTAGTATGGTTAGAGATTAAAATGGTTTGGATAGAAATGATAATAATTGTCATATTCTAGAAATCGTTTTTAAGGTAGAACCAAAAGGATTTATTATATGAAAGGGAAAGAGAAAGATTTTTTCCTAAGTACCTAGGTGACTAGATAGCTAAAGACTTGCTTTGTTGTTGTTAAGTGTCATGTAGTCTATTTTGACTCATAGCGACCCTGTACAAGGTTTCCAAGGAGCAAATAGTGGGTTTGAACCAGCTATTTTATGGTTTGCAGTCCACTGCTGATCTTACAGCACCACACAAGAAGTCCTTATTATATATACTTTAAAATTTGACAGTAGTTACCTAAGGTTGAATTATGAGGGCAAAGGTG